TGGGGCAAACAAAACTGAAGACACAATGAAATGAAGTGAAGCAATAAAAACTAGGATCAAGTATACACAAAGTAAGGTAAACTTTGACAGCTAGGAACAACATAGGATGCTCGAGGAACAGCGAGATGGCGTTTCAGAACTACGAAACGTTGACTCAGTTTATAACCTTCTGCAAGATCCTCACTACAAACCAGACATGTTAGAGTCCACATTAAAGTAAACCTCAACAGTATGGGGGGAAGGCTTAAGTTACATCAGTCCCAGCATAAGCAGGTGTACAGAGAGTTGTGCCTTCTGAAGACTAAGACCCACACACAGTTACATCCAGCAGACTGCTCTACTGATACCATCTTGTGTGACTTTTCCCCACTGTGATTCTTCTCCCCACATCCTGCAGTGAAAGAGATTCAATTAAAATCCGGCAGGTTTTCACCACCGATTTCCCTTCCTGTACCCAAAAACTGCTGCCAGCAACTGAGTACTCAGACATTTAGCCTTTTGTTTTAATGCAGATTTGCACAAATACTTTTGTTGACTCTAGATTTTAACAAGTCCAGAGTCACCCTGTAAAGACAGGAGATTTTTTAAGAAATGGTTACCCTTTCTGAATGCAGTGTTAACCTGCTGAACATCTGGTTTTACACTGATTATATTATAACCCTTTAACTTTCACCTTCCACTATGTTGTTGGGGTTTTTTTTATGCAGAAGCCAGATGACATCATAACTTTCTATTTTGTTTTCTGTATACTTTGGTATTTTACCTCCTTTTCTATTTACTTCTCTCCACACAAGCAAACACAGCAAGACAGAAAAGTGGCTCTGGACACTGTTTTATGTTGCATGGAATTGTTTCCAACTTCATTTTTGCCATTAAAGATGAGCTGCTCTTTTGAAATTCAAGTTTTCCTTCAAAATTCTTTACATTTGCAAGTCACCTCCTTAGCTTATCACCCCTTCTAAATCCAAGCCTCCTGGGTGGAAAGCATTCAAAGACTGCCTAACTTCAAAGAAGACAAGCAGCCACATTGAATGTGTGATTAGTCCCACTGAAATTAAAGTTAAGCACATGCAATTATTTAGGTTTATAGATTAAAAAGATGTAAAGTCAAACAAGTGCCTTTCCCAATTCTTCAATTTTTTGTTACTAAGTTCCTGTGAAGCTTGAGACTGATTTCATGTGTAAAGATAGCTTTTCCTATGAAGATTTTTAAATACCTGCCTCATACAGAGTTATTTTCGTCCAATTCAAAGTCTGTCCTCAGACAGCTTTGCACAAATCCCATTAACTTTAGTACATGTCTAAAGGCAGAATTTGAAACATGTAAAGAACTGGGTCACTGGACAATGTTAAATCTCAAACAGAGATTTCTGAGTTAAAATACCCCTTCCCTCAGGTACTACGCAAACATTCCCTTTTGTGTGTAAGCAATAGCAAACACTTGAAATTTGATAGGTTACATTTCATCCTTGCTCACTTATGGCTTTCCCCCTTACTACAGCTAACAGCCATTTAGTCCTTAACGCAGTAGTTGTAACTGATGCGAGATCATCCAAGTACACCATCTCACAGGGCTGCCTCGCTGCACATTTCAGTGCCTTGTTCACTCCCGGCTTAAACCAGTAGCCAGCAACAACTTTTGGTGAAGGTCTTTTTTTCTGGTTCTCAGGAAAACTGCTTTCACATGCTGGTCACACACACTAGCTCTTGACTTGCCTCTATTTTGTATTTAATACTGGTAATAACATTTCCTCATCATATTTATAAAATACAGTCTAATCAGGTATGTGATCTACGAGCAGGAAATCAGTCCAGGTACAGGTGGGTTTGTTTGGTATTTTCACAACCTAATTCTACAATTATTGTGTCAGTAAACATCAGTGAAATAATAGTCTGAAAGGCTTCGGTCACCACGACTCTTCTCTGCATTAACACTTCAGATCTGTGTATACTATTCTCATATAATTGGGTTTATTACATTATATACACTTGCTCCAGCACAAAGCCTGCATAGAACTTAAAATCAGACCATCCTAACCTAATGTGACCAGTCAGGAGATACAAAGGGACAAGCCAACATGCAGCGTTCAGAAGTTACCTGTGAGCTCCCTTTCCAGAATCACTTTCCCCAGAAAGTTTAGATTTGCTGGAATCAAAAAAACAAAACTAAAGTCCAACATACACTTTGTATTTCCAGTGATAACATCACCCTTTAGATGTCTTTCTGCTCATGACTATGAGGGCAGCCCACCAGAATGAGCACAAGGCTTGGAATTCTATTCGAGACTATGCTATTTGTCTGTGCGTGACCTCCAGCCAAGTGCTTCACTGAACTTACTCTCTGCACCTCCAAGCCTTTATGATGCCCTTAGCTCAGGAAAGCCAGTAACGTTCAAGAATACATGATAATGTCTTCGATATTTCTGTGACAAGGTCTGCAGGAAACATTATTTCCATCAGAGTCAGAAATTAAAAAAAATTCTTTCCATGCCAGTATTTTGTCCCAAGAAAAGGCATAATTATTGTTAATTATTTTAACTTTCATCAAGGTAACTCTAATCCTATGTTGCTTTTGGCACAGTTCAAGTCTCCACCTCTCACCGAGTGTACTCAGAGACATAAATTAATTTTTCTCCCCTTTTAATCCATGAAGCCTAAAGACAGATGTTAACTTTTTCTTCCAAACCTCAGATGTTCTTTTTCCTTGTTAAATTTATATCCTTGTACTGCAGAGCCAAAGCTCTCCCAATCCCCTGTATTCTAAATTAATCCATCAATCCCCTTTCCTCTGTGTTTTTGCCCTTGGCAAATCATTAGCCCAAGGGAGAACTCAACGGAAAAATTCCAAATTTCACTCAGACCACAGCTGAAAATATCTTTCTTCTGCCTCTGCAAGAGCTGCACTGAGATGCCATCCCTTGCCGATTTTTCTCTCCTTACTACATCTCCAGCTTCACTGAACAGCCACTACCCTTCACAGCTGCCCCTTCCCATCCCACTGTCTCCTCCAGCTGCCTCCCTCTGGGCTCTATTTGTACTCTTTGCTGTAAAAAGTTTCAAATAAAAATGTTCTCCCATTAAGTCCTTGGACAAGCCTTTGATTTTCTATTACCTTTTCACCCCTTCTTAGGGTCTGCGCTAGTATTTTAAGGGCACACACGAGATACAGCTAAACTCATTTGCTTTGAAACCTCTCAATTCTAGACATGAAAGCAGTATGAGACTCCTCAGATTTGTTTCTCCCTTCAATCCTTAACCACAAGATAAAAGTTTGTTATGAAAGCAGAGCTATGTCTGCCTGTTCAAAAGTAAGGTGATGCTTTAGCCAGAGGCTTGCAAAGAAGTATACAAAATATAAGTTCAATCTGAACAAGCTGGACCTCTCATTACAGGTAAAGTTATCAATGCACATGCGTTTTCTACTTCCACCTAATGCGGCAAATCAGTTTTGAATGAAAGTTACTGTTTCACTTCAGTCCTGCAAATCTCCTGGTCCTACTGCCTTTTGCCAATGTTCCCTCATAGGCTGTTTCAGCACAGCATGTTGTGTACTGCTTGCTTTGGCAAAGAGCTGCCCCGCCAGCAGCCTTTCATCTTTACAGCCTATATAAAATTATTTCTGAAAAGTGTAAAAAAGCGATACTAAATATGAGTGCCATGGATTTCTATGTTGAAAGGCATTTAACCAAGAAAACCTGGCAGACATTTTGAAACACTCATGCGAAGATACCAGCCACCTGAATGCGGATGCAAAACCACAAAGGTTCTATGGAACACACATGCAAAGCCAGAAAAACCCACCGGGTTTAGGGTTTAACCCACCCTCCTCATACCTAAAGGTTTTGGCTCACTAGCACTTCTCTGAAAAGTCTGGTGAACAACAGGACCTGAAGCTCACTTCACCGCAGTGGCCATCTGCTCTAGAACAGCCACATGTCTGGGATTAGGAACAATTAATACAGCTAAAAGCTAACTGGAACTCTTTTGTCTCACTTTCTAGAAGATGGAGAACATCAAAAACTGTATTCCTTGTGCAGCACAACCCACCTAAACACACCACAAAGCTGCCTCGATTTTAATGTCCTCAGCCAACCACTGAGGATTCCATGCAGAGAACAGCTACTCGCATGGAAACGCTACTCCTCAGCTCAATTTAGGAAACTGCTCTCTTTCCGCACCGCTCTGCATTGTGCAATGGGATATAAAAACCATCAGGGACGTACCCTGTCAGGGTAAGGGGTGCTCAGGCCTCGCCTCACCTCAGCTTTGCCCAATCCCTCCGCCGGGCCCGGGGGTTGCACCCCAGGCCCAGTCCCGCTCCTTCGGCCGGCGGGGACGGGTCTGCTTCTGGTGAGCGTTTGCACTCCCGGCCCTGGATACCTGCCAGAGGGGCTGGGTGTGGGTGAAAGCACACGAACAGGGTCCGTCGACGTGCCCCGGGGCGGCGGGTCCTCCCCACAGACACACACCTGCTTTCCGCCGCGCCGCCAGGCCCTGCCGCCCCTCAGCCCTACCGCGCCGCTTACGCACTCGGCGCCCGACACGCTAGCACCTACGACTTTTGCGCAACGGGAGCCCTCTCAGGTGCAGCGCCCGCGTTGACGACATTACGGAAAATTCGTAAGAAACACCAACCTCTTTGAGGGGCTTTACGCAAGTGACGTTCCTAGGAGCAAGCTTAGCCGCTCCTAACCCGCGTCGCAGCGAGAGCTCTCTGAAGTGCCGCGAGCCCTCGACCGCGAGCGGCGGGTGGGATTACGCAGTTAACGTAAGGAGTAGCGGCCCCAGGTAGGAAACCGGACGGGATGATCTAAGCAGCTTTACGTCAATTCCGTAAGGCTGCGCTGGCCTGCCGCAAGAAGGGAGGAAACGGCCGGTTCCGCGCCGCTACGGAATTGGCGCGGCGGGCAGGCATCTACCCTACGCAGTTGGCGTAAGGCTCTCTCTCAGGTGCAGGGAGGGGGCGGGCCCACGTTGCCCGGCAGCCCCAGCCTATGGGGGCGCGGGGCGCTGTCACGTGCCCGAGCCCCGCTCGCCGCTGCGGAGCCGGAGGAGCCAGGACGGGGCCGCGGAGCCGGGACGGGGCCGCGCCGGAGGCAGCGCTGGAGCCGGCGGCGGGCGGGGTGAGGCGGGCGAGCGGCGGGGTGGGGAGCGGGGAAGGGCTCGGTGCGGCGTCCCCGAGGGGAGGCGGTCGCCGCTCCTCCCACTGCACCGGGCACTGCGGGCAGGAGGCAAGGGCAGGACACGGGGGGGAGGGGAGGCGCTGCCTGGGGGGCGGCGCGCGGTGGCGGTTGCGGGGGTCTCGGTTCCCGGAGGGGCCGCGGAGCACCGGGGGTGGGGGGGTGTGAGAAGATGGGGGGCTCTGTGCGCGCGTGCGGCCGCCGCCCGCCCTTCCGCCGGCTGCGCGGCGCGTACCTGGGCGCGGGGGGCGGAGCCGCGGGCGGTCGGTGCCGCGGGGCGGGGGCCGGGGACCGGGACTGGCCCCGGTGTGCGCTGATGGGGGGGGGGGTTCAGCTACGTCTCTGACAGCCCGCGGGCCCCTCTCACCGTGGCCGGGTGCTGCGAGGGGGCACGAAGTTCGCGGCAGGAGCCGTGGCTCCGGTACCTGTGCGGGGTCTCTGGCTGCGGCTCGGTCCCGGTTGTCTCCTTCCTCGTGAGTTCGCGTTGCGCTGGGGTTTGTTAATCGTTAACCCACTGGTTTTTGTGGAGGTGAGAACTTGAGTAACCGTGGAGTCACAGGCAGGCTGCTGAGGAGAGCAAAACGCAAGGTTTGAATCGAAGCAAGAATATGCATTATCTAGCTAAACGTCTTATTATTTATTTAGGTGGCTCTGAAAATGGTGCCATGTGGTTTACAGAAAGTAAGAAGAAAATGTCCTGCTCCAAGCAGCTCCCACAGAACACAGCAGTACAGAAACTTATCAATGGGGGGTCCTGGATGTGTCTGAATTGGGGTTTCTCTTTAGCTGTTTGTTAACATTTTTAACAAGTTTTATCATACTTTGTCCTGAAAACTTAGGAATTCTAAGTGTTGTTAAAGTAAAGGAAAACCTATGTAGGCAGTGGAAGGTGTTCTGCTTGTGGCAGGGGAGTTGGAACCAGATGGTATTTAAGGTCCCTTCCAACCCGAACCATCCTGTGATTCTGTGCTTGCTGTCAGGAACATAAGGTATTTCAAATCTCCAGCTCCAAAAAACGTTTGTGCAACTTAAACTAAAATAGCTGGGCTATTGAAATGAAAATAGCTAGGAAGTTTAACTTCAATTAAAATAGCTGGGCTATTGAACTTAAATTAAAATAGCTGTGTGTTCTAGTGAGCATCCGAAACCTGGCCTTCTAGGGTAAAGACAGAAAATTAAGATGAATTCCTTCATTCATGGAAGGAATGGAGGAGCAGGGATTGCTCGCAGAACACGCTCTTGTTAAAAATATGGTAACCAGTTTTTGAGAGACCCAAAGGAAGCAACAGTGGAGGCAGAGAGAGCCTGATGTTTGCAGGAAGGAAGGAAAGAGGATGGAATGGTGCTGTCTGTACTTGAGGGGAGGCCTTGAAAACTAAGCTTTTGGACCAGGAAAGGAGGAAGGCTGGAAAGTGTCTCTATAGAGGTTGTATTGCTGTATTCCTTTGTTTGCACAAGGTCATTTCTCATGGTCTCTGAAAAGCAAAAGTGTTTTCCAAGAATTTCAATGTTCCATCTCCTAGATGGGCCATCCAACATTTGTAAAAGCTGGGTTGTAGTCATTTCCTGCCAGTGTAGGGAGGAAGAAGAAATCTGTGTCAGCAGATGGCAGCTGGCTGTAGCTTCTGCTGAATTCCTGGTCATTTTTAGGAAGTTGGACTTGCCTCTGGAAGTTCTTGGCATGTGTCATTTTCTTCTCCCTGGAATTTTCCAATCGTTTTCCTCTGCTTCATGATGATATAGAATGGAGGGAGAGGATGGGGAAAAGAGTGGGTAAGGATTGCTAATAGTTGAGGTTTAATGTTTTCTGTTTCTCAGAATGCTGACATTGACAGTGCGAGTCTGGTGCTGCTTTGGCATTTCTAGTAGAATCCTTAGTCCTTGCTAATTCTCCTACTCCTGTTTTTATAAAGGGGGTTTATTTGCAAAGGCTGTTCATCCGAATTGATCATTATTACTGAACTGCTGATAATATTGTTGGCTCTCCACAAAAAAGGTTCTGATGAGGTGCCAGTTCTTGCTCCAAGTAGTTGACAGGCTAAATGCAAGGTAGAAATCTAGGACTTAATTTCTCTCTAGAAACACTTGTGTGTGGAGACCTGGGGAGAGCCCCAGCTGCGACCTGCTGTGAATGTTGCTGAAGAAGTGATCAAACCCAGCCTCATTGTTTGTCCTGGAAGAAGGAATTTCAAACACAGTTGATTTCATACAAAATGAATGGTTCGGACACAAATGAGAAGAAAGAGTAAGCATGAGAAGTAGTTTAAACTCTGGTGGATGTGCAGATTTTGGTGACCCTTGTTTCTGACTTGAAAGCAGTTTTTTTTCCATGGGTAACATGATGCTTAAGGTTGCAGAGCTCTCTCCTTTTGAAGCCCCTCAGTGAGTGTTCATCAAAGGCCTGTGGGTGGACTGAGATACTATTTTTTTTTCCTGTTTGAACTGTGAAATCCTGTTTGGAAATTAAGGAAAAGGAATCCAAGTCACTTCACGTTGTGAAAAACCTCACTGTAGAATGGTGAAAGCTGCGCTTTTTTCCACGTTGCTTTGGAAGCAGTTGAACTTTGTAACTTGGCATGTAAATAGAGCTCTTTGGAGAGCACATCCACGGCTGGAAAGAGGAGAGAGGGAAATGCCTGGCTGGTTAACAAGCTTTTGAGTGTGTAAAAAGCCACTGTGAGCATGTTTGTTGAAGCGTCTGTTAAAACACACAAGAGGTTTGCAGAGCCCTGCTCTGGGTTGTGATGATGTACGTACACCTAGAAGTGACCAATATGAAAGAGTTAAAAAAAGGTGGCAGTTTGTGTGTTTCTACAGCCTGGGCTGGGGAGAGCACTGGGGCGGTTGAGAGGAAGGTACCTGGGAATGTGTCAGTCATCTGAGTAAGAATGCAGAGGTCTGATCTGCACCTCACCAGTCTCAGTTTCAGTTCTTGGCGAATTAGGATTCGTGGTACATCTGGAAATGCCAACGGAGGACTTCAGCACAGCATTTTGATTTGTGTAGCTCACTTTGTATCAAGGTTGGGGGAGGGAAGACTTTTCTGTTCTGACAACATATCCACGAGGAGCTCTTGGCTGATGTGGTGTCCTGGATTTGCTATAAACTGAACACTATTGGCAAGTAAAGATGGCTTTGCTGCTGTATAGGCTGCAGTGCTGAAATCAAAAGGAAAATTCCTGTTTAAAGCAGCACGAAAACCGGTTACAGATTCAAATAGCAAAAAAATACAAGTCTCAAACACATCTGTAGAAATCCCAGTTTGAATACATTGGTTGTCCTTGCAGCATGATTTGAGAAACAGAAACTTTGTACTCGTTATTTAGGGGAACAGAAGCCTTGAGCTCATATTTTGTATTAAAAGTGATAACTGATACAAGCTACAAGCCTAGAGACAATATTTTTTCAGTTGTGCTCCTGCATTTCTTGGCACTTGTGTAGTTTTTCCTTCTTATGTGCAAGCCTTTCACTGAGCAATGATGACAGAAAGCAGTGGCACATACACTGTGTCAGCTCACAGAGGGATAGTGTTTCTAGTTAGCTTTGCTGAAAACCTTAATTCATGTCCTTTTGAGGAAAAAAAAAAACATGGAGAGGGGTCTTAGGAATGGTACGGGTGGGTAAGCATCAACTTCTTGTGCTTTGGCTTTCTGGGCTTTATTTTGTAGCTAAATTAGCTCCTGTTTCTGGTCCTTCTCACCATGGGTTGGAAGAGGACAGAGAATTCTTGGACCCTGTTCCATGCTGGTCTGTTGTCTTCATACTTTTGCTCCTCAGTGCATATACTGACCTTTCTGTTAATTCCCTGTGTGGTATCGGAATGTGGACAAGGTGCTGGGTATAGGAGAAGTGTAAGAAAAGATCCAGGGTATGTCATCAGTTCTGCTGTTACCAAAAGGTATGTGAAGCATGGTACTGGGCTCCTCTCTCACTCTTTCTCTGCTGCTAAAACCAGGAATGCTGGGACTAATGCACTGTGTGGATTTTCCATGCAGCTGTGTGGGGTTGCTGTATTACTGGGCCCCTGCCCCTTTGCTGATGGGCTTCTCAAGTAATGGAGGCCATAGATTCTAAACCCTGTGTCCTTGTTGTTTTACTTCATTGATTTTTCTGTAACTATGCAAAATTTTATAGCTTTTGGAGTAAAATATTTTCATAACATGCTGATAAATTAAAGGTGCAAATGGATTCTTGCTATGAGGGTGCTGAGGCGCTGGCACAGGGTGCCCAGAGAAGCTGTGGCTGCCCCATCCTTGGCAGGGTTCAAGGCCAGGTTGGACACAGGGGCTTGGAGCAACCTGCTCTAGTGGAAGGTGTCCCTGCCCATGGCAGGGGGTTGGAACTGGATGAGCTTTAAGGTCCCTTCTATGATTCTGTGATGTGAAAGAGGAATAATCCTATGAAATCCAACTGCGAACTCATTTTAGGGGATCTCTTGGATTGTGGGAACTCAAGTGATCCTACTACATAGGTTGCTTTGCATTAGTTCTCTTATGTTGTGGTTTGGCACACTATTTAAGAGCCTCAAGATGCTACTTGTGATTGACTTAACAAAATGTAAATTACATGCTGTTTTACTAGGGCCTAATTTATCTGTCCTAAGGTTTGTGTACCAACAGCACTAAAGCCCTTCTAACAATAATGTTTCTCTTTCATGTAATGTCTACGTAAGGGAATTAAATTACTCTTAATTGCATGCTTAAAAATAAAGTAAGATCGGGGTGTGTCTGGCTATCACAGCAAATTAAATTGTGCTGCTGCTCGTTGGTTTTGTGCGTTTACTCTAAATTGACTTTATTGAAAAATTAAATGTTTGAATATTGGTTGGGAGGAGCGCTCTTGCTAGTAGGTAACCATGAGATACCCCAGAACTTGAAGAAATCTTGGACAACAGAACCGATTAACATTTTCAGACCTTAAACTTTGATGTGGTTAGTGCTGAA